AGTGACAACATTTCAGCTCTTCCTTAAATTACTCCACAGTATGTGCAAGAGACAAAAATAAGCTGTCAGAATTCAAACATGTTCAAGCATAGAGCTTTACAGCTGTAACTGCTATCATACTCTGAGCAATCACTAGCCTCAAAAAACAAACAGGCAGATTTCAAATCTCACAGTGAAGGGTATCCTTATACTTTTGTGCAGCAAGTATGTAACTGAACTTCAAATATTTTATAATAACCTGGTCATACACTGACAACAGCACACTGGGCTCCTCCACTTCTAAAAGCGATGCTTTAGAGGGACTGTTATGCTATGTCTTTTAAACTGAAAAATTAAAATAAACTATAGTCAGAGATCTTTGAAGAGTAACGTTATTGGTACATATTGACACAAATGGAGAGCATTAAAGGTTGCAATTTAAACACAGACCAGAAACACATTCTTATAACAACCTCACAAATTAACTCACAGAACATACAAATTGCACACATGGTAACTTACACTGTTTCCTCCTTTGTCTGAATTCTAATTAGGACTTGCTAGCGTAAACTAAAGGATGCATCAAATCCTTCACAATCATATAGACAAAACTGAAATATAAATCATTTACACTTGCTAATGTTGTCATACTAATGATTTGTATCAGCCTTTGGCCATACATCTGATCAGAATGGAAAGCAAAAGGAACTAGCAAGATTGCTGCTGTTCCTAACATCAGAGAGAGTTCTCTCCAAGAAGGGTCAACTGTAATGGAAAAATAAAGAGAACAAATTGAATCTGCAGGAAATTATACAATGTAGGGAGGAAAAAAAAAAAATCTTCTAAAATTGCAGTGACTACATGTTATTTCAAGAACATCTCTAGCTTTTCATGTTATTCTGCATGGCACAACCTACTGTGGAAAAGTCCGTATTTTAACTAATGATGACTTCTGTCAGTTTGATATAGTAGACAGTAAAGCAAAACAAACACACACACACACACACACTAAAAAATTAACAATTCTCTTTAAACCAACAGGTTTCAGTTTCTCATTTCTCAAAATCAGCTGAAAGAAATGTTCTCCATCTCTTCCAAAGGTAATACCAAGTGGGAGACTGTGAATGGAAATTTCTACTGAAAGTAGAAGGGTTTGTTGGTTTGTTTTTTTACTTTGATTTTGGTTTAGTGTTTGTTTAAGAAAGCTATGACCAAATAGAAATGTATTGCATAATGGTAATTCTGCATTGCATATAAACTCAATTATACAGTTCACCACCGTGAATTCAGTAATCTGAATCATATTACCTCCAACTGCGAGAAATTCAAACACCTCATGGAAAGAACAGTTCTTGCCATGGAAGCACCTGCAGCTGCTGAGTCCGTTCCTGGAGGACACGACTGAAGAGTCATCACCTGGAGTGGCTTCAAACTCCTGCACCTACTTCTGCTGTTTCCTATGAAGGTCTTTCACTTGCACATTGATCCTCTCTATCCCTTGTTCTATTGAAGCCATTAACAAGATCAAAGCTTCAGTGAACTAACTTCTGCTATTGATTACTTACAGCATGGTTAATCTAAATATATATAGATTCTATTTTATCCAGCAACAATTAAAAGCAAAAAAGTACATTCTCCTTTTCATGTACTGACTTTCAGCAACTAAGTATTTTTCTCAAATACAGTTATTAATCCTAAACAGGTAACACAACTTTGCAGCAAAGATCTCTGGCAAAAACCCTATGCAAAATATGTAAAATATATTATCCTTCCCCTCTCCCCCCCCCAAAAAAGGATTTTCTTCTTTGTGTTTTAATAGCATTGTCCCTCAAAAACTGCTCAGAAAATCTTAACTTTTGAATTTTTTTCTCTTTTTTGGGTTTTGGGGGTTTTTTGGGGTTTGGGGAGTTTTTTTAATCTTATTTTTTTCTTCTGCTGCCTCAGTTTGCAATGACCAAATGGAAGAAGGAAGGAAGAAAAATTAAAAATTGTAATCTCAATTTTTCTATAAGTAAATTTTTAAATAACTAACAACGTCAAAAGAAAAAAAGTCACAAACCTAATTCTCCTTGCAGATAATTAACAACATACAGTTAAAACATCATCAGACATCTCAGTATGTGGTAGTGATTGATTTTGCTGCCTAAACACTTAAATTATATTAATTTTTATTTTAACTGTATCAATAAGTTAGAGTTTTCTGGACCTAGAAATATACAAGTCTGGAACTCTCTAATAAAAGCTCTCCAAATAAGGAGAGGAAGTATATTTTACTCAAAATGAATAAACAAATTATTTGTATGGAACTGGCAAAGACTCCAAGTTTCACATACCTCTCAGGAAACAAAAAGGATATGAAGATGAGTTAGTATGCTTTTACACATAGGTGGTTGTCACAAACAAGTAAAATATTCATAATTACACTTCTTCAAAATCTGCAGGAATCCTAAACAATTTAGAAACAATTAAGTATATGCATTTCAACAGGGAAAGTGAATGCAATAAAAGTTAAGTCTTACTGAAACATCAACCATGCAATTTGCCTTCAAAATTCATACTGCAAAAAACTACTAAAATTATAGGAAAATAAGTTCAATATTTAATTAAAAAGAGAATAAAGATTATTACAAAACACCATAGAGGTTAGAACACAAAATTACATAACACGTATGTGTAGTGATATGCTTTTCTGTCACACACACTGGTGTAACACTTAAGTCAATTGTTCCATGCTGAACCAATACATTACAGAACAACATTATATGAAAGTGGGTTCTCCGTACATAGGTCTTCTCCAGGATCCTCTTCATATGAATTCACATCACTGTAACTGCTGTGGCCTATTTTATACAATTACATTATGGTCTGGACCATATGTCTGTTGCTTTACTATGCTTTATTGTTTTTTCCATTCAGATCAGCCTTGAGGACACTGGATTCAAGTTTCAAATCTGCAGATATAACTGAAGGTTACCCCTTCGCCTGCAGAAACCTTGCAGCTGGCTCATTCAAGCCTAACTAGTCATATGTAACTTGAGCAAAGGACCTTTGAAATAAACGGGTAGACATCACTTTGAAGTTTTGTATAATGCTGAAACAGTGGCTGTTCTTGCTTGTCCCTGATAAAATCTGTTAGAATTGCTAGCAGTAAGTGACTTGGTTTTGTTAAGAAAGGGAACCTGTAAACTTGAGTGTACAACTTCCTTGTAAATGGGAAGGACACCTGTAAACTTGATGTCATGGACCATTCTAGGCTTCCAAAAGAAAAGAAAGGAGGTTGGAGGCAAACTGTCTCACAGCAAAACAGGAGGCTTTCTAGAAAAAACTAAGACCCTTGATGTAGACTCTGTAATTATAATTACCCCTATTAGTGCAATGCCTTCTTCAGCTTCTGAAAAAAAACATGAAGTGTCTTCTGCTTATTTTCTGAAGAACAGTAATGGCTTTGAAAAGATTACTATTGGGATGCAGTGCTGGGTCTCAAAACTCAACATGTAACATACAGATGTCCATGCAAAAGAATGGGATCCAAACTGTCAGCAGGGAAGGAAGGGTTAATCACTAAATATATCAACATCTTCTATGGCTAGCTATTTCCATTGCTAGCAATACTACTGTTGCTATTTCTTTTTTGCTCTTCCAAGTAGAAAATCTACCATGTGATTAACAGATTTGAGTAGAGAGTCTACCATGAGATAACGAATTATGCTGTTCATTTCAGCATAATGGTCCCTGCTGCAGTTCAGAAAGAAGCTGAATTCTTTTCCCATGAAAACTAGAAGCAAGATGACCCAGTGCAAGTTCATTTTACAAAACACTGACAGGTCCAAAATGAATATGAACAGTTTACTAAAGACAGAGCCTTAATATTAACTGTTGATAACTCAGGAATTTCACATGCAATCACCCTCTGACGTTACAGTTTTACCGTCCTTGTAGATAAAAATTTCTTGGTTATCTAGCTGTGGTACAGGAAGGCCTGTGGGAACTCTTTTCAAGAGTTTTACTGCAGTAAACAACTCGGTCTGATAAGGTGAAGAATTTGATTGTTACTTAGTTGTACAGCAGTATTTTTCCCAGTACTCATTAAGAGAATTAAGAAAACAAAGGTAGTTAAGTGGGGTGAAGAAAACCAGGGCATCTGAATCCGCAGGAAGAAACACTCTGGGAACCAGCTGTTCACCAGGAAATCAAATGCACGTTAACTAGGCAACCGTAGCTGCTCAAGCCACTCTGTTAAGATGTCTTTCCACTTGCCTTGCCAGTCACAATGATGAGTATGAATATAGTACTTAAACTGCTCCAAGTTTTCATTTCAGTTTTGTTTCAAGTAACCAGAAGAAATACAGCCTCCTCAATGCTCATACAGAAATACTTAACAAGACAGATTTCCACAGTTTCGGTACCCATACATTTTGGCATCTCAAGAACCAATTCAAGTTAATGAGTTTCATCTAGAAATGAAAAAACTGTAAATAAAATGAGATAAAATCATGTTACAACAAAATGCAGAATTAAGATCTGAATAAAATATGCCTGGATGCAATCAGCAGTCAATCAGAATGACAAATGGTTTCAAATTAAAGAATTTTAATGAAGCCTTAAAGCCTAGATACAGAAACAGAGTTGCAGGCAGCCACGGGTTCAGTTCCAAAAGTCCAGGATTTCCAGGTAATGCCACCAATATCTAAGTTTCTAAGGCTGTAACTGAGAGGTGAAGTTTGCTTAAAGCTTTTTTTTGGCATTTCTTTTTTTTTTTTTTAAATGAGGATATAATTTTCCCAAAGTTCTTTAATCTTCAACTTTTTATTTTCAAGCTATGTTTTACTTCAGGTGAATGTCTGTCTTTGGTTTTTATCCTACTAGTATATTAAAAAAAAAAGTGGGAAAAATAACATGTGAACACATTACAGTTGTTTCTCCTGACTATGCTTACTAGTCAGGTGAGAAGTCTGGAGTTTGTACATGTACAAATGGAGCACTTTGGAACATGAGGTCCATTCTTCTCACCCACGCCATAATTAGCTGTCGGTTTCTCCATGTACATTTTCCATGTGCACTTTGAGGTAGTCATTTCTTGTAAACTTCTTGTGGCAAAGCTGGCATTCTGCCATCGGTCGATTGGGGTTGTGAGTCAGCTTGTGTCGGATCAGCATTTTCTTCAGGCTGAAGGACAGATCACAAACCTAAGGCAGTGAAGATAAGACAAAAACAAAAGTAGTCTTAAAACTTCAAGCACGTATAAAGCTCCTTATGTTACATCACTGAGGCCAGAGCCACACATACTTGCAATAAATGATAATAAATGAGCTGGTCTTTGGAAGAATAACTCCTTCAGAGAGCACTGTAAAGATTATTACTCTGTCTGGTATCTTTCAATGTTATACATTGACAGTGGTACCACAGGCACGAGGTGGGGAATGAAAAAGGACTCAGTCTTTAAAATATCAACACACCAAGGTGTTCCAGTTACACTGCAGGGTTTTTTTAAAAACCTATTATTCTATCTGGAATGCAGCAAGAATTATGACAAAACACCACAAGCCTTTGTCAATTCAACCTCAAAAGAAGTATTTCGTTCTTGATCTCCAGAACGACATCTGTGGGTTCCTAAAAAAATCAGTTCAAATCACTCAGTTACAAGGAGGGAGGACTGAGAAACAAGAGGCTCTGAAGACTGCCAGAAAGGTTAATTATTATTATAGAGGAAACCTTGTTGTTCCAGTCTTCCTCTGCCTGGCCAAGAAAACAGAAGACATCTTGCAAATGAAGGTGCAATTCATTCCCTGTATCATCTGGTGTGCTGCTTCCCTTCCTCCACTGTTCTCCAAGCAGTCAGGTTCATCCTGCCATTTGAATAAATGACTAGAGGGATGAGGGACTCTGCCATCTAAAACCATCACTTCTTATAAACATTCCTGTACCGAAGTCAAAATGGAAGGTTAAGAACAAGTTCAGTCAAGAGCAATTAGAATGAAAAGTTAAGAATCTGTAGGCAAGACATCAAGTCAATTGAAACCGTGCAGGTACATGGTCATATTCACCTTCCATCCAGGTACATATTGTATGCATGAATTTCCCAGAAAGAAAAAAAAAAAGAAAATTATAAAGTATGCTCCTGATTTGGCAAATTAAATAGGCAGGAGTCATATAATTAAATAAGACTGAGCATCCATAGGGTTGCAATCTTAGAATTTCAGGTTCCAGAACCTTCCAAAAATGTCTTCCATGCAGAGGAAACTCAGGAAACCCAGAACAATCCCTCTTTAGAAAAACAAAATTTTAAATTCATATTGATATCAAACTAGCAATGAAAATACTGAATGATTACTGCTTCCTTTTGAAACTGAGACAGACAAATAGAGCCGACTATCAAAGCAGATAATCTTGACCTGCAGTATATGTATTTTATGCCAATTAAGGCATAACCATACAATGACCATAAAGAGGGCAACTGCTGAGGGCAAGTTTGGTACCCAAAATAATTTTTCGCCAGACAAGAACACTGCATGTGCTGTTGCAATGGAACATTTTTGAATTTATGACATGATGTAATACTGAGGACTTTTATACAGCAACTGTAACTCTCCAACTTTTTCCCCTCGATGTATAATTACCTCTTTCAGACCCAAGCAACAGTGACCCTTTTGTTATGTGACAGCAAACGTCACTTACAGCATCCACTGGTCAAGGCTTAACACTGCTTTTGCGAAACACCATTTTTTATTCCTCTTCGACAGAAGACACAAAGTGACCTCAAAACATTTATCTAATCATAACCATCATGCTTGCTCACAAGTCTCAACATGTTAAAAGTATCATATACTTGTAAACACAACATGTTTCTTGAAAGCCAGGAAGCAGATCAAGGATATACACACATACAAGATACGTATGTGTTCTATCCATCTTACACACTCCTCTTCATTTTTAAAGTAACCGGCTTATAACACAGTGTTAAAGTACTTTTTTTTTTTTTCATTTATAATGCTCATGTAACAACTAGTATAACGTGTCCTGCTGTTCCTTCAAGGCTCTAGCATGTTCTACTACCTAACTTAAAAAAAAAAACCAAAACAAAACAACCCAAAACCCAAACCCAAAAAACCCATGGAACATGCAGGATCACTACTTAAAGATACGATAAATCTTGTGCTGTACTTATGCATAACAGTTTTTCAGGGGTTTTTCCAGGTTTTTTTAAGTGTTTGCTTTATATTTCAATTTTATAAGCAAGACTGACATGTTACAGATTTACAACCGTGCTTCTAGTGTGCACTTGAACTCTAATCAATCTCTTCAAAATGATCAAAGTTTTGATAGAGTAGGGAGGATGGAAGAGACTGACATTTGAAAGTAAGTGTAGGGTCAACTAAAGGCAGAGTGGAGGGAAATACTGTAGAGGAAAGAAACCAGGACCAGCAGTACCTGACCTTTCTACCCCCAAAGAATAATCTGTTGTCTCTGAAGCAACTGAAGTTCAATTGGCCTTCCAGTAAAAAACAGGCTGGTCTTCAGAGGACAGAAATCTAATATATTAGGAAAAAAAAAAAAAGTTTTGTATTTCCATATTTCAGTTATTTTCACTTTCCCATATAATAGAATTTTCACCTTAAAATGGGAATATTCAGTTTCCACTACTATCAGTGGGATGTGAGAGCTTTGAGTCATTAACAGTAAGTTCTGAAAATGCTTTTGTGGACTGAGAAGACACAGAAATAGCCACATAAATAAACTGTAGCATCTTCATTGAACAGGGTATGAGGATTACTTTTTACATATAGCCCAATTCTGCACTATAATGTCTGTTCCACATGCCTGAGAGAGAGAGAGGAAGAGAAGACATGGCTTTTATTTCTAATTCTGGAAGAAAACTATATTTAAAGCAAAAACGCAGTCTAAAAAAATTGGTATGTAATAGTTTATATTGGGTTGGGAGAGGTGCGCTGTCAAGTGAAGCCTACTCTTGAGCCCCTAAAATACACATTTTTCAATAGCCAAAAGTTTTCTTTCTTCAGTTCTTTGGTACTGAAGGCAACTCCTGTTTGTAAATGCTAATGGTACTAAGAAACAAAGAAAGTTCTGACAGCAAACGTCAATATGTCATTCAGAAGAAAGAGCTGAATAGTTTCTATGACTGCTTCTAATGCCAGATAGGAAACAAGACCAAACGTGTCAATCCTCTTAAGACTTTTGTCTTTCAGTGTGGCTTCATGTATGATTACATTTATGAATATGCATTCATCATTGAAGACATAGCCTGGTTTTCACCTTTAAAGGATTCTTATTAGGTCTGGGCATTGGACTTACAGACTTTTCCAATTACTTTAATGAGTAAGGGCATGCCTTCACCCCTTAAAACATACAATGGAAATGGAGAAAAATCCAGAAAATAGTAACAAAAATTATTATGAACATGAGAAGTCGTCATGCGAAGTGCTGGAAAGAGAAACAACTTCAGAGAAGTTGACTAGGAAGGAACATGGCACTTGTACAGAAAGCAATGAACAAAATAGCTATTAACCCTTTTTGTTAATGAAAGAACTAAAAGACAGTTACTGAAATTCCATTGCAGTAACCCGACACACTCTCCTCTCCCTTAAATCTCTTTACACAGTTAAGAATTTGTTGCCATAAATTACCACTCAAGGCATCATAAGAAGAATAATAAGAACTTCTACAGCTATCTTTAGCAGGACAAAAAATTGTAGGTGAGAATGTTTGAGCATAAAAAGCAATCTTTAGTTTCGGGGAGCCAACAATAAATGTCTCCCATAGGTACATTTTTCTGTAACTGTCCACTACTGGTTTTCCTGTAACTTCTGCTGAACTATCTAGTAATATGCAATGTGCAAGACAGCTCTGGAGGAATGGTCTGCTTTCGGTAACATTTACTGTATCCCCAGCATCCACCGAACTGGAGTCCAGATGAAATAAGGAGTAACTATTGAAAGCAAAACTTTCAACGCTCTCCAAGTGTGCATTAACCAGCCACACCACGATAGGCACCTGGGCAACTAAGGAGTGTATGAATGAATAGCAGAGGCAACTATTGTTTATGTCCGAACCCCAAAAAGTCAGCAATCTCTGCAATGTGCAGCTGGCAAAAGACCAGCGCTGAAGCAGTAAGTATTAAAAAAAATCTCCACTACATGAATGTACATAAAAATTCTCAAAGAAGGACTAGGACTAGACACAGATAACAGCTGTTTCTAGAAACACTATGATTTGGGAAAATACAGTTCTATCTAATTAATGAGGAAAGCTGAAAGAACAGTTGAAGCAGGAAAGTGTATTTTTATACAGCTCCTACTTTCAATTAAAGAAAGTAAAAAGAATCAAATATAACCACCACCCCAAATTGGTCTGAAAAAGAACACTGTGAATCCAAGACCAGTGAATCTTGGATCCACAGTGTGGGAAAAATTGCAATTACACTGCAAGCTAGCCAACAGCTGATCAACAATATAACAATCTGAAAAAGTTATTGACAATTATTTGGAATTAGAGAACTCCTCAAGGTACTATATAAAGCAAGGCTGAGATTATCCCAAAAGAATACAGCAAATCTCCTGACTTGTAGACATCAGCAAAATAGTGTAGCTGAAATTCTTCATTAAATTACATTTTATCCGCAATGAAATGTTACAGGTTACTTATTAAAAGCTAGATTAACAGACCCTTGTGACTTTCATGCCAAGTGATTATTCTAATTTTGCATCTAATTTTAGAAATATATGAACAAATTTACAACTGTTCAAACTGAGTCATCCAGGATATAAGTGAAAGCTGGTGGTTCCTCTGTGACTAATTCATTAAGAGTTAATATCACAAAACAAAGCACCTGTACTAATTTTATACTCTATTCTGATGCCCTTCTCTAAATCCTCAAGTAACAACTTAAATTCTGGCATTTGATAATTCTGAATGACATTATTTTCCAACAGTTTCTGCACATTCAGCAGCCACACCTATCTTCTAAAAGCTATGAGATATGTTGAAAACAGGATGGGGTATGCTGAATGAAAAGAACTTGACAGGAATCTATGAAATGTAATAAAATATGCTACATTTCAGCACTGCAAGCACACACAGCATCCGCAACTTCTTCACTGAACAGAAAAAAAACCAAAACTATGAGCAGACGTTGAAAATATCAGACCAGATTTCACTAAACAGAAGTTAGAAATTCTGAATTCATATTTTTGTCATTCAACAACATCAGAAGCATTCAGATTCCATGTAATGAAATAAATACCTTTTCCTGTATAAGCTAATCTCCAACTATTAACCTGTCATACAATTTATACGGGAACCCAACCAGCATGAATTTGTAACTTGCAACATCCAAATTGCCTTAATAATGGTGAAAATAACTCTTAAGGGATCCAGAACCATAAAATAAAAGGGTGTGCAATGCTCTTGGCAACTGAAGAGGGTACATAAATTCCCTGAATGGTCTTTCATTAGTTAGGCAATCAAAGATCATACGAAGTGTAACTTTATGCCACAGCCAATAGGTGCAAGGCCATAGTCTCATTGCAATTAAGTCCTGCTGCTGCACTGAAGTCAAGAAGACAAAGGGATAAATCAACTCACATCACACTGAAACGGCTTCTCTCCGGTGTGGGTTCTCATGTGCTCATCCAAGCCTCGCTTTTGACTGAAAGCCTTGTTACACTCTGAACACTGGTATGGCTTTTCCTGTATGAAATGACAACAGTGAGTGAAAGTGAGTCAATGCAGAGCTCAAGTCATTAAAGGAGTGGAATTCCATGCTGGATGGTGCAAGTTTTATATTCTCTCTAAGGGATTACAGTCAGTGAAAACAACAGAAAACGACTTTCAAATGATTAAGTGAAAGCTGGGAAAGCTGTGGCCTGACAGTTTCCACTTCAACACCCACTTATGAATTAATTATCTGTTCCAGTCTTTCAAACCTAGCCATTTTGGAGTCTGTTTTTCGTAAAGTGAAAGGTGCAGCAACATAAGATTCAGATGTACTTTCTTTTATCCTCCACAAAACCTTAAAGCATAAAGATAAGTAAGATGTCTATAAAAACCTCAGGTTTGTTAGCAGGTTTGCAAGCAAGGGGAGATGTGAAGAGAGGAAGAGGGGGTACAAGGAAACCTTGTGGTAGAGAAAAAACTTGAAAAGTGGTGACAGAAGGTTAATCACACATTCAATGCAGAATCTCAAAAGAAGTGCAGATGGCAACCAAGCCATCTGTATTTTTATTAGAACTATTGGTTATCAGCTACTGTAACACATGATGTTATAAAAGTTGCAAGCTCACTGACCTCCATTAAATAATTAAAAGATATGTATGGAAAACTACTTATATAAAGATTTTTTTCTCTCAAGTTCTTCCTTAATACACAAACTTATATAAGGTGTAATTCCTCCTTTATTCCACTAAAGTTACAAAAGAACTGTATGGAAAACAAAATTTAAATAAATCAATTACATGTACGGTTAGTATTATGGCACTGCACATTGCCTCATTAAAATTTTGATGCTGATAGAGGCACCTTCATTTTTGAATCAAACAATTTTACTTCTTTCACTCTCATTCCACTTTTTTCTGTGGTCCCTAATTCTGTATTGCTTAAGTTCTAAAGATGTGTATTTTAGGTAAAGTAAAATAAATTTCTGAATTTAAACTGAAAACAAAGATTGAAAATCAATAGGCAATAAAAATGCTAAGTCTATGACTTAACAAATAATAGGCAGTAATCTTAACGGTCTTTTGGGAGATAATGTGGGATCCAAGGATAAGTAAGAAGGAACAACTCAGATTAGGTGTTGAAGCTACAGAGTGAAGAAATTCTCTGGTTATTGAACGCCTATTCTCAGTATGTAGAGGACAATCATGTCTCCAGATATTGCTGAATCCTGCCAGGTACTTGGCATAAACTGTACATGTAATACAATGGACTAAAAATCAGTGCTGTTCTGGGTACGTCTCAGCTTTCTTTTTAGGGCAGCTCTTTGCAGGTACAGAGATCTGGGGGGATGAAGACTGGGTTCTTCATTTTGGAGTATCCTCCCATGAGGTTTCCGAGAAAAGGCAGTGTCATACACAGTAACGCCCCAACTTACAGTGGCAGGAATCCTCTAGCTCACCAAAACCAGGTCATAAGATATGTACACAGGGAAAAGCATTTCTTCAGCCATTTCAATTTCAGATATGAGTAAATCATGAGATAAAGTACATTTCAGTATGAGGCAAGATAAATTTTTCTACTGACACATGAAGAAATTGCTGAGTACATGGTGCCCAGCTGCATATAATCAAACGGGCCTAAAGGGAAGCCACTAATGAGCTTTTCTTGCAAGATTCTCCTTACACACATTTATCGTCTTTGTGGTTTTTTTATCATTAGCTTCATTTCGTAATCTCCATGATTCTTCAGTAGAGACTAAAACATAACAAATTACCTACAAAAGATCTGAGCTGATCTTAAAAAAATTGTCATCTAGACCAAAAACTTCATGTCACAGGGAATTTTGCTAGACTGACTAAAGACTTCATGGAGCAGATCTGTAATTTTTAAGGAAATGTATGAATAAGCCATAAGATAAACAGGTTTCTGCAACACTCCCTTAATTGGTTTTGCATTGTGGTTAACATAAACCATTTTTTCTGTGAGTTCTCTGAAAACAGCCTTTCTCTGTGTAGGTTGTTCGACAGAAAGTGCAAAGTAAAGTACATGATGTGTACGTCTTAAACACCTATGACAACATTCATTATTGCAAACTGTACCAGATGTACTTCCTCCCTTTTTATCATCTTGTTCTTCAGGTATCTGAAGAGTTAACTTGATTATCTTACTCATTTCAGAGTTAAATAGACTTCAAGATTCCATTCTGGAGAAAGAGCCATTACAAACTCTGAGAAGCTGAAGTCACAAACCTGGGCTGTAGTAGCTTCCTCAAGGTTATGTTTGGCTATTTGTATTATTCTCTACAGTAAAAACGGGGACATCTAACCATCCCCTTGGCATTAGTATTCAAATTCACATATGTAGTGCATGAAACACATCCAAAGCTGTCTTTGATCTAATTTTAGATTCCTTACATCTGTATATTCCAGTGACTTCAGCAGACAATTCTGATTCACACCAGCCCCCTCTGCCCTAAGCTAAGCTGCCCTTCATTCACATTTGTGTCCTTTTCAGTAAAATCGGTAGTATTGTCCAGAGCAAAACTTGGCCCTAAGGTTCTGTCCAGGGAAAAAGGATTTTTGTTGGTTTTGAAGATTACATTATTCTCAGAGAGCAATTTCTTCAAAACATTCTGTGCTTTTTCTTTTCTCTCTCCCCCCTTCTTCCCCTCATATCAAATTTCCATTGCACAATACTTGGAGAAGGCAACATTTGTAACATGGAAAAGATGATGTTGGCTTGGCATAACCACCACTGCTCTAAACCTGTACAGAAAGAAAATAGATAAAAACCACAGCAGTCAGTCTGAAAGAAAGTTAATGCCACCACAAAAGGACAACAGGGACCAACAATGAGATTAGAAGAAAGCTGGACAAATTTAAAACATCAAGCAAAGGGAAAAACCTGCTAACTGTCAACAAAACAGGAGGTCATTGGGAAGATCATACAAGTCTGACTTCAGAGGAGTGAGCAACTGCTAGTACTATAAATCTACTCTCTGTTCAAAAAGCATCTGCCAGGCCATGGCTATGGTGGCAGCAAAGCCAAAGGATTACATGTGTTTTCTTTCACTGATGATATAAATGAGGAAGGGAGCAGGGAGAGTGAGAGACAGGATGTAGCTGATACTGAAGTGATTTAATATTACACCAGGTATAAACAGAAATACGTAGATCAGGAAGATCTGCGTAGATTCTTGCCTCTAGACAAAGAAAGGCCAAGGAGAGCCCAAATGGGACTTGCTATTCTGGAAGGTGCTTCGCTGTAAGACTGGTATGCCAACTTAGAAGCTCCTGTCTCTGGTAATTTTTACTTCACTACATTAAAACTGAGAGGAATTCAATATTTTAACAACTATGGCACGTAAAGTAGTGCCTGCAATGCACGCTTCATCTGTCTGTGGATAGCCAAATCATAAATGACTACCTTGGATTCTATGAAAATTGTGCTTCACGTTAGAAAGACATCAGAACATGACAAATTCTCAAGGCCATCTGACGCCACCTTTAACAGATTGAGAGAACATGTGTACAGAGTATCCTGCAACCACAGGCAGATGGAAATACTTAAATGCAGAATATTTGATCTGCTAACTGCTGCTGTAGTTGACTGTATCTCCCTTAAGAAATATAAATACATTACGTATATCAGCTTAGTACTAGTGCATATGGTTGTTTCTGTAAAACTGGTAAAATTGATTACACAGGTAAAACATGAATGACTTTGGTAGGAGTATCTCCAAATAAATTTTCTAATCTGAATGTAGAACTATAACATGAGCTCGTTACTCTTAATAAGTATCGTTTGCTGCTATATGTATTTGCATTATCACTTGAACACTGGGTCGGTAAAAAAACTGTTTTGAAAAAATCATCAAGGATGGAAAAACGTGGCCTAGAATGAACAAACATGACCAGCCATTACATTAAAATACACTGGTCAGGCTTGCAGCTACCAAGAGCTGACCTTTCAAACAGAATCCTGAAAATCCTATAGCTTTACCAACCCTAGAATGCAGAAAAAGATAGTGGTGTTATCTGCTTACAAACCAGGAGGACAGTGAAATACAGACTTCAGGAAGCATTATCTAAAGGGTACCTTAGGCATTTAGGGAATGACCTTAGATTTAAGACACCTGCATACTTCACGTTAACTCTTTGCTCTGTGTGTTTTAAACCTTTTCCTAATACCAGTAACACTTTGTTTCAATTATTACTAACTATTAATGCTGATGTGTCCCTCAAACCACACTCAAGAGCTCTTCAGCCAGTTGTACATGGCATGTATCAAAGACAGTGACCAGAACGGGTATCATCCTGTTAAACTCCCCACTGGAACATGAACTGAAGGTTCAGGTCTACAAGAGCCTGAAAAGCATGATCTCAGGGGCCTGGAAAAGACTCTGACCCAAGGCAGCCTAACGTGAGGTTCACGATGCATACCCATAAGCAACCAGCAACCTACCTTATGGCCTCACTAATAGCAAACTTCTACCAGAAGTTCAGCAGAACAGTGATGAATGAGTAACGGAAGTCCTAGAGAATTGGATGGATCTTTCTGCTTGATCTAGAAACTCCTCACAGATTGTGCCAGACCATGCTGAGGCCCAGCCCAAGTGAGTTGTTCTTTACAAGAAAACCTGTTAGACAGCAGCTGTGGTAATAGACCTTTAAGCCTCAGCAAATTCCCGTGTCAATGCACAGGGTTTTTCTACATTTAAGAAGAACGATGGGTAGTTTCACTATCAATGAAATGGTGACATGCAATGTATTGCTCAATTCTTTTTAAAAGACCAGCTTTCATCTTAATCAAAGGGGTGGAAATTGAGGTATAGTGCAGTAAAACAGTAAAGTGCCTTCTGAAACAAGAGTGGCTTATGTAGCTGATGTTCAGTTACATTTCATCCCTAAAAAAACCCAAAACAAAACCGTAAGCTGAGTAATGTCAGGAAAAAAACCATCAGTGATACTTTCTGCTAGGTCATCACCACTAGCAACACATCCCCTGTTGAGAGAGAGGCTAAGTCACTTAAGATC